TCCCCAACATTCTGTGATTCTGTGAAAATAACATCCCCCAAGTCCCACCTTCCCCAGATAGCTTCAGTTTGGCACCACAACCCATTCAGACTTCTCAAATCACCTCAATCACTCGTTGTTATGTTCATAAGTTTGCCTCCTGCCCTCTGCTACCTACTTTTGGGTCATTAATTGGTCTGAAATCCTACAGTATCTGTGGATGCTGAGAGAAGAAGAAACGTTTCTATTGCTGAGTGCCATAACTCACCTGAAGTGACGCGTGCTACTGCAGAGGCTTCTATTGCCAGTTCATTAAAATGAAGGCAGTGATTTGCACTGAAATATCACAGCTCAGGCATTTTCTAGAGCAGGTGGACAGAGGTTTGTGCTGGGAGAGTAGCAAGAAACAGGCTTGAGGCTGAATGCTAATTTGCAGTCGGTCTGGGTGAGGGCTCCCTGTAATTGCCTGCCCTCTTTTTTAGAGAGCCGTTGGTGATCTAGGTTACTGGAAGATGTTGAAATCGTTATCATAGGGTCTGTGATTGTGGTTCTGATTCAGCTCCTCCTTTGGAAGTCTGTGGGAATCTTTTGTGTATCTTTATGGGAACTGAGTCAGACCCTTCATCTTTTTAAATCAATCTGCTTACATTTGATGCTGTTTCATCGAATCATGAAAATGCCTAGAGACAACAGCTGGGGACTGTGGTACCAGCATGAAAGATCTTTACAGGACAAAGACCTTTAGAGCTTTGTTCCATTTTCATGCAGAAACCTGAATTGACAGTCTCTAAGTTGAAGAGTATGTCAGTTAATGGATGGTTTGGAAGCAGTGCCTGCCTGTAACAATTATCCTGCCTGTCCTACTTTTATTGTGCCTGAGCAGGAAAACTCACCTGGGTCAGTTATTTGCTGAGGAGGCAAAGGGAAGAAGACATATTTATTTCATTGCCAGGCTGTGTGTGTCTTGGAAGCATTCCTTCTTCTTGTGTTGTCTATTAAAATGTATATTCTGGTTGTCATAGTGCAGCAGTGGCCTAGCCCCAGAGCATGCTGATGGAATACACAAAGGATGTCTTACTGCTTCAATCCTGTCTTATTCAAAGTCTCTGTAATGCTTTAGTATTATGCTTTATAAATAATTATCACAGCATCTTAAGCTCAGCCTCATTCGAAACATCCCAGGAATGGGAGAAAGCAAAAATTCTCCTTAAATAGATGGACTGAACCAGCTGGAGGAAAAAAATAAGTTAAAAAAAAAAAAATAGTGCTGCATGGAAGTTTCCAAGCAGTTGTCAAAATATAGAGTAAGGAATTATAAAATTTCTTACCAGCTTAACGTGATCCTTGCAGTAGTGGTTGTGTCCTGAGGAACACAAGCCATTCCTGATGCAGTGCTCTGCTGTTGCACGCTGTGCTTCAGTAGTGGGGAGGTCTGGCTTGGTCAAACGAGCTCAGAAGGCGAATCAAATCACTGCTGCGGCGTCTGGATGGCACCGTGGGGTCCTGTTTCTTTGGAAATAAGCTACCCAGATAATTGTGTATTCAGAGGATACCAAGTTGGTGGGGTAGAACATGTCACTTCATGCTTCACTGGGGTGTTCAAATATGGGTCTGGAGGAATGTTACCATTTGTTTAAGGATGTAAACTGACATGTACTTAGCATGGATGTAAATGAGGCAATTTATGGCTTGTGTTCTTGAGGCTTATGACTTAGAAAGAAGCATGACACTTCAGGAGAGTTTGGTTAATGTTGCCTCACAGACAAAGAAAACAATTAATTCAGCCCAGTTTTAGGCTCTTTAAGAGGCCTGGAAACAAATCTAAACTTTGTATTAGAAGGGCCTTGGTAGTTCTTGAAAGTTGTGTCCTGAAAAACAGGATGCAGGAGAGAGGGAAAGTGTTATTCAGCCTCTGGCTTGTGTTCAGATGCAAACGTCTGGATTTGGGCCTTCCTTTCTTTGGTTGAGCTCTTGGTTCCCTGCTGATACAAAAGCCTCAGTCATCCTATAGGAAGTGTAAGTGCTTCTTCAGTCCCACACACAATCTGTGGCCTCCTGGGTCATGCATAAAGGCTGTAAAAAGGACCATTGTGTTCTAAGTAATGTGCAAATAGTGTGAAGATGGGAAATGTCTTATAGTACCCGGTGCTAAATTAGTCTTTTGAAGTGTTGACATTTCTTTTTAAATGCATAAAGTTCACATGCTACACAAACCACTGCATTTGCAATTCAGATAACACCGAATTAGAGTACTAATCTCAAAGCCATGTAATAGATTTTGAGCTGGAAATCTCTGGGAATGGTGCAAATCATCATGTCTGATCAGCAGACATGTCTCATGGGAAGATAGTGACAAAACATGCAAATACTTTAAATATAGTTAAATAGGATTGTCGTTTTGTCAAATAGACTGGGTGTAGAGAATGAAATGCCGCTACAGCATGACAAAACCTCACCAGTGAATAATGCTTCAACTAGCAATATAACAACTGTTCAAAGAAGATCAAGAATAAGAAGAAGCGGTAGGAGGAATTGGTAGATGCATCAGTTTCTCTCTGGAAATCTGATGCTAAAAATGAAACCTCTCTCAAAGGCCAAACATATTGCAAGGTCAGCCTTTTTCACAGTGCTCGGGTGCTTCTGGATCTCAGTTGAGTCAGCAAGCCAGAAAAGTGTGAAAACAGAAAGCAGGAAGAAAAGAATTCTCTTCAGAATTTGGAATGATTCAGGTGGTTTTTCTCCAAAGTTGCCTAAAATGCCTGACCTGCTGGTGTACTTAAGAGTTTTAGCATGTACAGAGCAAAACATGCCAAGAATCAGTGAAACCAACAGTATATAGGTAAAGATGCTGGGACTGTAGGTTTGTGGTAACTGAGTTTAAACCTTGAGGTTTAAACACCCATTAAAGTGTGTCCTTCATGGACTCTCAAAACTTTTTCTACCCTTGAAAATGCAAAGAGTTAGGGCAACACATTCACAGCTGGGTGTCTCAGTTGGCTGATGCTTTTTTCAAAGGATGCTGAGGAATCCTGGTTTCTGCAGTTGTCTCATGGAGTTGTGCTCTCCAAGAACCAGACCTGTCTCTTGGATTTGACTAAATTTTGGTTTAAGAATTGATCCAAACCACAGAGTGTTTGATCCAAGACAGGCCATCTAGTTTACGTGTGTAGATCTCACACGTTTCTCAGTTTCTTCATCTCACTGAAGGTAGAGATGTCATTAGTGTTATGTATCAGCTCTTGTAATTATTTGTTCTGAAAAAGCTGGTATCTGTTTATAGCTGGGTTGCTTGGATTCAGTCTTTCCTTGTGACTCATTTGTGTCACAACAGCCTATTACTACCTATGAATATTAGTTTTGTGTATGCCAGGTCATATTCCAGCTGTTAGTATTTCAAAACTTCTTTGTCAAGAACCTTGCATTGTTTCCAGAGTTGCAAAAATACGTTGTAGTTCTCCCAGTCTTTATTTTTCTGATTATGTTCTGGTTGTCTCTGCACGTCTCCGGAAGGGAATGGTGACACTGCCTAACGCCAGAGATATTTGTTGGAAGTGCTGATAAGTGTGTCCCACCTGATAGATCTGGAACAAAAAAGCAACAGTTTGTTTCCGACCCAGAACTATTAAGGTTCTCAGGGGAACAGTTTGGAAAGATGCATTCTGGCTGAGCTGCGTGTAATGGGTTTGTAACACAGATAAATGACCATTATTTCAGCCATGTGAAATGCTATGGGCTCCTCTGTGTGTGTCTTGCACCAGAGCCACGAGGATGAAAAGAAGGGCTTTAACTCAGTGTTCTAGCAGGCACTGGTAGCACGGGGCTCTTTATGATCCCTATGATTTATTGGAAAACATCAACTTTTTTCTTTAAAGTCTATTTTATAAGTAGGTATGCATGTAGCACTCTGCCGGATGGTGTTCTGGTGAATAAGCACGCTAATCTCTTACATTCCTTCCAATTACATTCCAGTCCCCTGTCATTAATGCACTATTAATGACCAAGAGACTAAATTGAGAAGAAAATAAATCCCACCATTTGAGTGTCATGTAATATTTTTACCACAGGCAGGTCAATCAGATGAAAAGCCCTTCAATTAGTAAGAAGTTGAAATGCTGCTTTGTCTTAACTGAGGTTATTGTCAGGACCTGGTGGTGCTGCTTCATCACCCAGTGTCCTGTAATTACATTACCTAATTGGATGGAGAATGGGAATTGGGCTTACTTTTTTTTTTTGGTGCTACCCAAAAATGCCTGGAAAGTAATAGAAAAGTCTGTCAGGACTGCCACAGGTTTGAAGGGAGAGCAGTGGTGGGAACTTGGATTTCAGATGCTGCAATTTGAATATTGAAAGAGAATTTCATATTCAAAATTTGCAATTAGCTAAGAAAATCTTGGCCCTGATTTTTGTACCTGCGAAGCCCACAGAAGCTCCTTGCTGACTCTGGGAAGCGCTGTGGGAGTCTTGCTACTTCCAGGGTGGCTTTGTTTTTGTTTTTTCTCCAGAGTGCTTAATTAGGAGCTTCACTTCGAGCTTGTCTGTAGGTATCCAGTTATTAAACACTTTTGTTGCTGATTGAAGGGTGTGATGAGTGAAAAAGAAATATCTTACAGTCTTTATAGGTTATTTTTATGTACTAAATAATAACATAAATCTCATAAAATAAGGGTGCTTTAATCAGCCAGAATCTTAAGTACATTTCCAAATAAAACTTTCTACATTCAATTAAGTGCGCCTGAACAGGCCATTTGGGAGAATTAAAGCCATTAACAAGTGATAGAGACAATCAAAGGAAAGGTGAGTGGACTTTGCTTCATCTCCCTTGCTCATTTCTATATTTAAATATTCATTTTGTTCTCTTTCTACTTGCTGTAGTCTCTCTTCTCCTTCTTATGGGGCTCTGAATACAGGCTGAATTTTCCCAAAAGGGAATTGTTCAAAGGTGAGGTGCTTGGAGCTGAGAATTGGTAGGACACTTAATGCATACAAAATGATCCAAAGTTTTGAAGTGTTTGACATAGTGTAGATGGATACTGTAGAAGAATCAGACCTGTTTTAGAAGCTGTAGTATAAGTCCATCCTAACTGCAAAGTGTTTCTATATTTACCCTTAAGCAAAGGATTAATCAAGTGTACTAAGGTTTCAGTAACTCAGTAGCTTGCTACTAAAGCTTGGTGTGGTGTAGTGGTCTCATCTGTAACACACATATAACCTCTAGCCGACCTATAATAAGCATGTGTGAATAAAACGAATGTGAATGCGTGAATAAAATGTGTGAATACTTGAAGGAAGACCCAGGGCATTTTCACTTCAATGTTAGTGACCTTTCAGAGTTCAGGGGAAGACCTTTGGGTAAGAGAAGCATCCTTTGTTGAACACAAATACTTAAACTTGTATACTTCCCATGGCCAAGCAGGCTTAAGGGGAAAAGGGGGGGCGGAAAATGTTTAGGGTGAATGCAACAGAGACACAGTAGATGAGATGGTGTCTGCCCTGTGGATTTAACTGGAACTTTGAATAGCTGAGCTTTGCTAAGCAGCATCCTCACTCTAGAACTGTGCTTCTATCCCTAGAGAGCCTGTGGTGCTGCTTTGGTGCACATCAATACCTGATAGAAAGCAGTGAAGGTGGAGGCAGACTCTTCTTAATGGTACCCAGTGAAAAGATGAGGCAATGGGCACAAACTAAAATACAGGAAATTCCATTTAAACATAAGAAGGAACATTTTTCCTGTAAGGATGGTCAAACACTGGAATAGGTGTGCAGTGAGGTTGTGGCTTCTCCATCCTTGGTCATATTCAAAACTCAACTGGATATGGTCCTGAACAACCTGTTGTAGGTGATCCTACTTTGAGCAGGGGGCATGGACTAGAGATCCCTTCCAGTCTCAACTATTCCCTGATTCTGTGACATGCATGCAAAGGAGAAAAGAGCAATTTGAAAATGGTGGTGAAAGATGGACTTAGCATCAAGAATTTGAAGGGAGGAAACTGTAGAAATGCAGAACTTAAATAGAATCCAGTGGTGATAGGAGTTACGGGAAATGTTGTGTGACTTAAAAGGCAGTTGTGGTTGTAAAGAGATGGGAAGTGAAAAGTGGTTATGGTAAGTGATGACACACACAATGAGGGAAGAAAAGAGGAGTCTAAACCCGATCACTTCTCTGCAGTGGGCCAAGTGGCAAAAGAACCAACATCCACAGTCAATCTCCCCCAGGCTACTCTGCCAGCATGACTCACGTCTGATAAGGGAAGAACATCTTGTTGAAGGTGAGAAGGGTAGTTTATAGTTAAATTTATCAGACAGGTAACTGTAGCATGAAATTCTAAGTGCACTTGTATCTCTACAGAAAACAGATAAAATACTGATAGCTGACAGCATTGCATCAGAGCTGATAACTCATCTCATCAACCTGTCCCCAACCAGGCTCCACACAAGCATGTATCCTGGCTAGTCGCTATCTGTGCCGCTCAGAGATTAAATGTAATCAACTCCTTTGGTTATAGGAAATCCTGAAAACAATGCTTACTCAACCTATTAATGCGGGAGAAAAGTACCTACCAACAAAATATCACAGTGAACAGTTCTGCCCCTGTGTTATTTTATATTTTGATCTCTCTGCTGGCAGTCCCTATGAGGATTAGTTAAGATTACTTGTAGATAAACATAGATATTCATCTTCCTTTGTTCCTGCACAAAGATCTCCCAGACAGTAAGACACCAAATGGCCAAAATTTGGCATGAATATTCAGTTACTTAAAAATCTGGGCTGGACTTGACAAGAAAACCTGTTCTTCAGCATTGGCATGGAACAGTTCACGAGTACTAAGTATATAAACCCTCTTTAGCTCTTCACAATATTTCTTTTCCTTTTACTAGAGGAGAGGTAGAACCATTCATGTTTGAGAAGGTAGGGCATGTGACTTGGTGGTCCATACCTCGATTTGACACAGCATTCTTATCAAGTGTGTGGACCCAGGACTGGTATCCACCAACAGAACCCAGGTGCTTTGGTTATATGTATTCAAAATTTGTAAAGCTTTAGGGGTGCAAAGAGGTGAAAGATGTATTTAGGTTTTTCTGTTCTGCTGTAGCCTTTGTCATCCTTCCAGACACAGAGTGGAATTTAAAATATTAACATAATTGTTTAATGTCATCTTGTCCTTCATGATATGTCAGTGTCCCTGTTTGACTTGGAAGCTTTCAGATTCTTAAAGGTGACCCAGTCATTACTGGGAGAGCTAAGAGAAATGAAGTATTTAGTGCTTAAGCAAATATGTCACCTGCATTTGTAATAGCATTCCATTGCTCAGCTCTTCTGGTGGCTCTCAGCTCATGACTGGAATTGGAACAGTGAGTGTACAGGAGCCAATGCTCTTAGTCACCATACCGATACTCAGGAGCATGTTCCTGGTTTGGTTTGCATCATGGTTGATGGTACATCTTTGGTACCTGTGGTGAAGGGTGTGGTGTGTCACCTTTAACCACTTAGATCCCTGCAGAGTACTGATACAGTTGATGGAGTGCAGGAGGAAGTGGTGTTTGCCTGGCCAGAAAACACAGGTTGTGCTCAGGAAAGGCAAATGCTTGCACATGAGTGTAGCTGTGCAAAGGGACCACTGTTGTGCAGCCTTTGGATGTACATTTGAGCCCGGTGGGATTGACTTTGATCAGCTGACTCCTGCAGTAGTGCAGATTTATCTATCTTCAGTTGATCTAACTGATCCTTTGTGACTGCTCTGGTACCCTGGATGCTGTCAGTGCAAGACCCAGCCAGCTGTAGAAATACAAGAGTGTAACTGCAGTACAGTTCAACTGAGTTTGCTCTAGAAACTCAGGGAAATTAAATCAATCCCAGTGCTTTCTCCTTAGCTTATTGCCATTCCACACACATATATTTTAGGCTTTGTATGGCAATCCTGGCTGCCTAGGGGCAAGAATGGCTTTATGCACATCTTCTTTCCAAGGATGCAAACTCTGATTCTATATCCTTGTCTGTTGCATAATGTTTATGTAATAAAAGAAGGAAAATATAGCAAACCTCAGCAGTTCAAATATGGAATTTCATGGTGCCGAGCCTCACTCTTTTACAGAAGCTAAATGTAGAATCTGTGGGAGGTTAACTCAATATCCTCATATAGGAAAGGGTGCAAGCACAGTTGCTGTAGAATATAAAAGATCCTTCTTTTAGACAAAGAACATCAGTTCAAAACATGGCTTGCACTGGTGCTGAGCACACACACTAGTAATTTGTACAAATTTAGCTATATCTGTGTGATCTCATCAGTCCACGTGTCCCTAATCTGAAAGAAGCGTGTATTCGGCTTCTTTTCTGAGACCCTCACAAATTACTCCACATTCAAATGCAAATACTTAATAACTGAGGCTTAAGGATCATATGATTCTGTAGACAGTAAATCTGGTGGTTTGGAGTTGTACACATATTTGGCAGATAATAGGTTTATCACTGACAGCTAATCTTTTAAATAACTGTGGCTTAATTCCTTTTGTTAACTAATTAAAAAGAGAGAAAGAAGTTAAAGCTGTAATTAGACCTATTAAAACATGTATTACTCACTCAATGGTCTATACAACTAGGATAAATGTATAATTAGGAGGTTTGTCCAAACATGATTAAAGCTAGTCACGTGTCCTAGGCCATCAAACATTTATGTGTGCATGAGATCAAGAGTAAAATCAGTATGAAAATGTGAATATAAACCATTCTCATACTTTGCAAAGAAAACACATGAACTATCTGTTGGCATTTTATAAATATTTAACTCAAATCTTGATAGCTTTTTTCAGATGAAAATTCTGAAAGGATTGTGTCAGGCCTGGAGCTTCTGGTGGGATAGTGTCATTGTCAACAGTAATCAGACCAGGTCCACCTGTCCCCGTGATCTATTGCTGTTGTTGCCTGTGGTTTGCTGATAGTTTAAGAAATTTAGAAATTAGTAGGTGTTGAATTCCCATTCGTGATCGGTGCATCCCATGAGGCATAAGGATTTGTGTCCTTTCCAAAACTCATTCCTGTGTTAGGGCATTACGTTTCTTTTTTGTTTGGGTTGTTAGTCTTAAAATCAGAAAGTCATAAATTCTTCAGCTTTAGAGCTAGAGTGTGTTTTCCCTTCCATATAGTTAGGAGAGGGGAAGAAGGGAGCAGCTCCATTGGCCTTTTATGCCTCACACAGGTGTGTACAGGTGCTTTCTCTGCGCGCTGGTTACTGGTGACGGCATCTCTCAAAGGGAAATCCCCAGAAAGGCTGTGGTGGGTCTGTGTCTCTGTCAGCCACCGTTCTTCCCCTATGTTGATGATTCATTGTATACTGGAACCTTCCCTGGTGTGTCTCGTCAGTCCCTTTGTGGCACATACAAGTTGGAGAAAGAGACTCAGAGCACCTGTGCATCCTTGGTTGCCCCCAGAGCTCATAGCAGTCGTGTTGTATGGTTCAGGTGTTCCTACACTGACCCCTCTCCAGCTGTCCACATCCCAGCTGTTCCCTAGGAGCTTTGCTGCAGCGTGGCTGTCACTGTGGTGGCCTCTGTGGCATTTTAGGCTGAAGAACAGGCAAGGAGGGGGATTTCTGCCATGAACTCATTCAAAGCAAACCGTTGCACCTCCACAAAGCAACCAGAGGTGCTGGCAGCTCTCGTGGAGGTACAGACATCTCTGACATGACTGCTAAGCACAATTAAAGATGGAAATCAGTTGTGTGCTGTAATAGCTCTTTGGTTCAAAAAACCTTTAGTTGCAAGCACTGACCCAGAGAAAGAGACACTGAAGTATTGAGGTTGTTGGGCTAAACCTATGGAAAAGGAATAAGCTCAGGTGCTGAAAGCTGACTGAGATGTTTTCAGTTTTTCTGCCAGAGTGAGAACTGTTTGCACGGGTTACAGAAGAGCTCCAAAGTAATGTAGAAAGGAAAAAGCTGCTTTAATACATATAGATTTCTGCTTGGGGAACAGTGAAGTTCAGTTAAAAGTCTTAGCTGCCTATACTGCTTTTAAGCACAGATAATTTAGAGAACTTGGCTGGTGTCAGCCCTTTTTGTCTCACTAAGCCGGTGAGAATCCTGGAGTAGGAGAAAGAGGAAGAAGCACTTGGGGGGAAAATCTAGCACAGAGGAAATAGAAGTGTCCTGCTACAACTGTGGAGGAGAATGGTGCTTCCCCTCCGTGGGTAATATCTTTCTCATTTTTTATGTTGGTTTTCATGTTTGCATATACTCAGAGAGAGAGATGTCCATATGGGTGTGTGAGTATTTAAATATCCGTGCACATAAAATAGCAGATGTCTGTACTGCACACACAGTGGTTTGGGGAGCAGTTTCAAAGTGGTCCATGGTATGCCTGTGGTCTAAGTGAGTAGAAGTATAAGAATTTTGGAGTTGTTTTGTTGTTTGTATTTTTTCTTCTTATATGAAAAATGAAAAGATTAGGCCTCTCTCTGAAAGGATGACTTTTTGTCTTGGGTAGCTTCAGAGATGATAAGAACTTAAGTTTTGATTGAGCAGAGATGTAACAAATCACTGCATAATTTTGTTGTATAGGTTTCAGTAGGTTGCATGCTAGCCAAAGATCTAGAAGAGATCTTTCAGCAGTATAAGAAGAGGCATTAGCTCTTTAAATCCTAGATCTAGAGCTCTAAAACCATGGAAAATATAGAACTGATTATAAAAAATTCCCTAATATTGTTTCAGACTTTTGTAGGTTTTGCCTAGTTGCTACACCTAAATAGCTGCATTGTCTGGTGTCTTGAATATATCATCTCAGACGGGCAATACCGTTCATGTCTGTATGTAGATTATGCTCTTATAAGACTGCTTTTATTGCCAAATGAAATCAGAATCTCATGACTTAAATTTGGATACCGCCGCTTCAGAGACCATAGTTTAAATATTAAACAGATATTTGGAGTGCGTAAGCATGGGATAAGCCCAGGAGAAGGATTCAAGGAGGAACTGGAGGAGAAGAATGAACATGTTACTTGTTGCAGATGATTTCATCGTATTGGGATTCTGATTCAATGATGTTGCTGGAACCGAGTCACTCTTCACCACAATAGGAAATCTTTCTACAGTTTTCCTGCTTTATGCAAGGATTGTAAGAGGAATCTTCTAACAGCATTTATTTGGAGGAAATTCCTGTCCAGTGTATTCACTGGGAGTGATACTGGCTGGTGAGCTCAAATTTGGTGTCGTTTTTATGTAGGTATTTCAATTTTGAGGAACATCCAGTGTATTTGCAAACTTGTCATTCTACAGGTGTAACTAGCACTGTCTACATACTCATTCCAGGTCTGGCAGGTGACTATTTTGCATGTCACCCCCTCTATGATCAAGATCTGAACCTCTTAAGAAACCAAAAATCAGCCTCCAGTTCCCTCACTTTCTAATTCTGCATGACTAACTCATTCAGCATGTTATAAATACTGTTGCTCATTCCAAATACGTTGGTTACCTGTGCACCAATCACTGTCAGCATATTTCTGCAGTGGAGTGCTTTAGCATTGGGTAATTGGCATAAATGAAATGGCTTGAGTTACAGTATTACCCTTTCTGCATACGCCCACGTTTGCCTGTTACGTATGTGCAGGTTATGGGAGATATATGAATGATAGCAGCACTGCAAATGCCCTGCCAGCAAAGAAAGAACTTGTATACACCCAGAAAATGGGTATTGATGCAGAATTTATGTCAAGCAGAAGAGAAGAACGCACAAAAATATTTGTTTTGTGTGACTCTAGGAATCCTCAAGAAATTCTTTTCAACCAGGGGATTACAGTGAGGAAAAGGTGTCAGTGGTAGATTTTTGTCTGCTGATGGATGTATTTGTGACTGAGGCACGTGGCTCGATGTCTGCATGGCATTTTCCACACTTGAGAATAAGAACCCTGTATTCCAGTTTAGCTTTGTTGTAGGGCACAGTCAGTCACTTCCCTGTAACTCAACTTTTCCCCCCATCTGTAGAAGGAGAATCAGTAATTGCACATTGTTCTCAAAGCATTTTCATGTTTAAGGACATATCATCATCCCTGCTGTTCTTCTCACAAATGAGCTGTAGAATTATAACAGTAAATTGAGAATTCGTAGAGGTTACATTTGTAGAAATAGATTTCCCTGTGCTTACAGTTTTCTGCAATTGACTTTAATTTCTGCACCTGCAATTACTTCTGGGTGTAGCTCAAGCTGCTTAGATGCCTGAGAACTTGGACTGTGCTCATGTATCAGGTATTTGGGCATCAAAGTATTGTGCCTTATGCCTTCACACAGCAGCACCTACGACACCACAAGTGCAGTGACAGAGGTCAGCTTGCAAATCAGGTCTTTGCAGTTTAAGAAAGTGTTGGCTGAAACAGGGAAATGAGCCATGAAGAAAATTGTATTAGATGAACAATTTCTTTTTGTCCATTTGAGGCTGTGTTGTGCTGAAGGTGAAGTCCCTCTCCTCGTTCTCTTGGATTGCTCTTTACTCAGAAGGGCACGTAATTCTCTGGGCAGCTGAACGCCGTTCCGTGTGTGGCTCTGAATCGTTCACCTGGTGATGCTACTTACCGAGCACACTGGAGTTCCTGGGCTTCACAGCAAAGCTCAAGTCTTATCTCTCTGTAACTGTGTGCATCTCAGCTCAGACCACAACCTGATGTTTTTCAGAAGTGATCAGTGCTGGCTTACTCAGCCTTCCTGCTGCGAGGGGGAGTTTTATGCTTTTTTCCAAGGCAAGTGGAGTGAGATAGGTGCTTTGAAAACTTCCTTTATTCAGTAACTTCTAATCAAGGAAAAAAAAGCAAGAGTTTGAGGGACTACAGGTTAAATTCTTTCACAGCTTTGAAGAGCCTTTAGGATGTCACCAGTCTTAACTTGTCCCTTGGGATGCTGGGGAGGTTGGGATTGTGCTTGGCTGGCGTTGCTTTTCTGGATCCCAGAGCAGGATTCGTTACACTCACCCACCTCCCCAGACCTTCCTCTGTCAGTGCAGGTTGCTGGCACTTGAGCTTAACAAGAGTGAGCTGCATCTTAAGAGTAAACTGAGGCTCTTCTGCCTGCCTTAGAATATGTGTTTCTGGGTAAACATGTATTACTGCTACTTTTCTTTCATCCCTATAAATCTTCATCAAAAATATAGTTCCTTTCCTCCCCAGCAAGTGACAAATTAAGAGTCTGAGGTTTAAAAAATCAATGCATACGAGGGGCTCACTTTCCAGTCACCTGGCCTTAGATTTCCCTATTTGCGCAGCTTTGTCCATCCTGATGGACATCAAAAAGACAAGGGGAGACTTGCTAACGTGTTTGATTTCTTTTCTCAGTATTTCTGGCTTCTTGTCCTCTCACGAGGTTTGGTTGGCATCGGTGAAGCAAGTTATTCCACTATTGCACCAACCATCATAGGAGACCTTTTCACCAAAAACACAAGGACCCTCATGCTGTCTGTTTTCTACTTTGCAATTCCTCTTGGCAGGTAAGTGACACAAAGCTGCTTTCATCTGGCTTTTCTGTTAAAATAAGTTCACATAGATCTTAAGTTGCTAACGATGATAGTTCTGTCTTTGATTGGAATGGTTTAGACAGGAAAATAATGTGAGCAATGACTAATTAGTTGCAGGAATTGGATTTTTTTTTCTAGCCCTGTTACTGATTCGTGTGTGACTTTTGGGAATTAGTGGGAAGGATTTTTTTTTTTTTTTTTCCAGCAATAGGGTGGAAATGAAATAAAAATATTTTAGCTGACTTTTTTTTAGCATTATCAAATTAAACAATCATTTTGAATAATGTTATATTGATTCTCTGAATCGTTGCTTTGATTCATGCGACGTCTAGGCCTTCATTAGGCGATGTTTTCCAGGTTACTGTGAAATCAAGATCTCTTAAGACACTAGGCTGAGTTTTCAAAAGTGAGTGAATGGGTACCTGCTTCTATGTGACAGTTTAAATATCAGAGATTTCAGAAGAAGTATGTTATATGACATACAAAGGTTGAAATTTTGACTTTTTACAATGTTTTTACTTTAAGCTCAAATTCTACCCAACCTTGAATTTGGCCAATCTGACTAAATTTGGAAAATACAGCTAAGCCAATCTTAGATGACTTGGTAGTTGCAACAGCAGTGCCCAGTGCTATTGCCACAGAAACAGCAATTAGGAGAAATTGTGAAGCCTAGTATAGACAAACAAGGCTGAAGAGAGAAACTGTAAAGATCATTCATAATCAGTCTGAACACAGAGCAGTGGAGGACGGTCAAGCCCATAGACACTTGGTAAAAGTACCAAACAGACTGAGATTTGGAGTAGTTATTTCCTCTGTCACCTTCAGTTGAGTTCCCTTATCAGCCCAGTGCAGTATTTGATTGTTGGGAAACAAGGGAATCTCAGATATTTTCTGTTGTTGTTTTTTGGGGGTGTTTTTTTAAATAATGGCTGACCCTCTATTGTGAGGTTGTAGGCAGGGTGGGTTCACATAGTTTAAATACCAATTCCCAGAGCTGGACAACATCCTGTGCAAAAGTGGCATCATGGGTTCATTTCCAGCAGGGAAAACATGGGCAGCAGTTTAATCCCCTCCCAGCTCAGGGAAAAACTTATGGTTTAGGGTGGTGCATTTTACAAGTTAGAGCTCGCATCCCTGAGATAAAACTCACAAACATCCATTTGTTCTTGAGGAAAAAGAGATAACCAAGTCTTTAACTGGTGAAAATAATATTTTCCCAAGAGGACCAAGGATGCCAAGTATTTATAGAGAGGATTCAGTGAGCAATGTCTAGCAAGAAATGACAAACATTCATCCTGGTGAGCCTGATTCTGGGACTTAATTCTCTCAATATCCAGCAGAGGTTTGGATCCATGATTTGATTTTGGGGCTTGTCTGTGTAAAAGAAGCCCATTTTGGGGGTAATTATAGATGTCAACCTCCAAAGCTTAGCAGACTGTTCAATAAAGGCATGTGGTGGCTGACAGTTGCCCCACAGCAGTCCTGGCAACTTTTAGCCAAGGCACTCTCAGCAACAAATGCAGAGGTTTGGAGAAAAAAAAAAACAACAAAAAAACCCAAAACAAAAACCATAAAGAAATTCACATCCATTCAGTTCACTCTGAGAGAAGCATGGCTACCTTCACCTTTATCTAGTCCTTTGGGAGCCACCTTTTGTTACCAGAGTGTAATTCTTGGCATATAGCTGAAGGTCCTGCTGCACCTTTATCTTCAGAGAGGATTTACAAGCTTCAGGTCTGATGTTCTCCCATCAGACTGTCTTGAATATTCTTCTTGGGGTTTTTTTTATAAGCTTATGGAAAATGGTCTCTTCATGAGTAATTAGAACCAAGTACTATTAAATGGCAAGAAAAAATTTGGTGATAGAATATGATGTATCCTTGAAGGACACTTCTTAACTGAGAGCTTGAACATAAAATTGTTAAGTATTCATATTACTGCACAGAAAAGCCTGATGTAGAAATCGAATTGGGAAATAAATTCTTTTTGAGACTTTGTTTCCGTCCACTGTAGCTTGAAAGGTCAGCTATAAAATTGAGATCAGAACTTCTGTTTGATTTGAGAATTTTTAGATCAACAGTGCTGGGAAGGGTTTCATATTAGCCACCATCAGCTTTGTCCCCCGTGTTTCTTCCTGCAGGAGCCTTGGCCACAAAATGGATTGTGACTTTTTAAATCTCTGTTTAAGAACAGCTATGGTTGTGGTACTCTGACCCTCATCTTTGTATTTCTTGCAGTGGTTTGGGATACATCACTGGGTCAAGTGTGAAGCAGGTTGCTGGAGACTGGCACTGGGCATTGCGGGTAAGCCACTCTTAATGACATCTTCATGACAGCTGCATCGGTTGATCAGTGTTAAGAAGAGTTCTAGCACACCATTCCTCAGCCTGTTGTTATATATACAAGGTAAAGGATTGGAAATTGTATTTATGGATATTAAGTGCATAGCAGATGCATTCTTTAGGCAAATGGGAAAGGTACTTGTTTTTTTCCCTGCCTGGGAGCAAGAACTTTCCAATCAGTTTATTATCAGTCAACCCTGATTTCTTCATCGGGATGGGAAGATGAGGCATTGGCCTTAAATCAACTCCACAGACTTTCAATCCCCTGCTGTCAAGAAACTCCGAGAATGGCTTCCTGCTTTGGAAAAAACACTTTGTTCCAGTTTCCGTTTGTTTTTCTGCCCTGAGACAGTCAATTTCCTTCTATTTTAACCTCTTGGGACCTTGATAAATGTGTTGAAAAGATAATACACTCCAATCACATATGCACAAAGAGATCTTGCACACAAAGATGTCTTGAAAGAGCTGAGAGGAAGTGGCCCAGCAGAGCTGTTTTCTGACCTTTGGCAGTCTGGGTGGCATGAGTCCCCGTGAGGTGCATTCTCTGGCTCTGGCACTTCATGAAGACAATGAATCTCATGAAGTTCAGACCAACACAGCTTGTAACAGCAGATGATGAAATACATGGGTTTCCATCTCAAGCAAATGTGCCCTTCTGTGACAGAAGCCGTTCTCTCCCTGGCCAGCAAGGGTAAGCAAAGCCAGGAGAATCACCATGAACATCAGCTAGGAAAGTGGAGAGTAGTTTCCAGCTGTGAACCTGAGATGGAAAGTTTAATAGCCTACAGCTTCACACCAAGAGGATGGCTACCTCATTCAGTAGCAGAAATACTTTAAGACTAAAATTAACTTTTGGGCAGAGGCCAGCACAAGAAATAAACCCCAAAGCCCCTCCTCTTGGTTAGTGGGCTTTAATGAGGTTGATAGGTTGGAGCGCTCTTGTGTTTCTGTCTGTAAAACCCAATTGATCAATTTGTGCAAAGAAATCTTCACCAGCATCTTTCTCTTCCCATGTAGTCTCCATATCCTGAGAAGTCCAGGATATCTGCAAGACTGTACCCCTTATGGGGTCATGTTTTCCACTATAAATGACACATTGATGCTTGACTGTCCAAAATTGTGGGGAATCTGACCAGCTGCACACTTCTATGATGGTTGCTTTGGACAGCATTGCTTGGGTTTTGTAGTCAAACAGCACGTGTTAAAAGCTTCCAGACAGCAGTGTAAAGCAGCCTGTGTCCCTGTGGCAATTATTGTGCTCTTGCAAGATGAGAGGGATTCCCCTAAGTGATGCTTCCCTCTGTGACCTCCTGTGGTCTCCAAATCCACAGGAGATCAGGGATAATCTCTACTTCAGTGGGCTGGAGAAGACACAAGGGCACATTGGCAAGTGGCAGCTTTGTCTCTGGATCTAGCAGTAATGTCAGTGTTTCACTGGAGCATTGCTGAGTATCAATGGATGTTGTCCTGTTGGGGAATTAAGCCTTTAGATAAAAATCAAAGAGACTTTAAATTATATGACCCTAGAAAATCCCAGCATTTCAAATTTTTACTTGTGCTGTGTCTTGTGTTCACCTGTAATAAGGACACTGTATCAGGCTTCATTTATTGCTGGATGAGGGATTTTCCTGATGTTCCAGTTCTGAAATATTTTTGTCTTCCCTTCCCTGGAAGAATTTTGAGTTTTTCATCTCTGAACATGACACACTGCTCCATGTGTAAAGGCCATTCTCAGTTTATTATTGGAAGCCTTTTTTTGGGTTGGTTTTGGGGTGGGTTTTTTTTTTGGAACAGGGATTTCTTTTTAAAATAGCATGTATAGAAGAGATGATAGTTCAGTGAAAATCTGAGTTCCTTACGGGGCTATTTTCCATTTTGACAATGGAATTTCAGTGTCAAAACAAGAATCATGTTTGTAGCTTGCAAAACACTGTGAGAACTTTGTATTTCTGTCTAGTGATTGGGAGAAAGGATTGGAAACTGGGAAAACTAACCCTTGAATATGTTGTTTTCCTATCTTCCAGCCTGAATTTTCAGTCTTTCTTAATCTGCTGGACACTGAGGTAATCTGAGGAACCTGCCTGAAAATGGGAGGCTCTTTGGTTTAGCTGGAAGTGGGATGCATGAAATCTAATCTGCTTCTTACTGCCTAGGCAGAACAAACCCTGTTGACTCCAGTGCTAATTCCATGTTCTTTTCTTACAGGTATCTCCACTCCTGGGAATGATAACAGGGACACTCATCTTGATATTTGTACCTGCTGCTAAAAGAGGAAATGTTGAACAACTTGGAGGACAACTGAAGGCTCGGACCTCATGGCTAAGAGACATGAAAGCACTGATTAGAAAGTAAGAGCACTCTAGTAAAGAGAATGCTTTCCCTCTGAAGCTTAATTGGAACATCCAGTGGCCTGTACTTCTTAGCACATGAGACTGGAAAGTGACAACATGCAGGGAGTTGCAGGAAGCTTCATCTGAGGACACAGGAGAGAGAATCACAGTTACATTTTCATGGGGTATTGACTGCAGTGACAATTATGGGTTCAAACTTTTGCTCTAACCTTTCCAAGATTGAGATCTAAGAGAGATTCTACTTTGTTTGGCTCATACTTCAGACAAATCAAGGCTTTTGAAGTGTAGAAATTGCTCTATTAATTGTTGTGCCACTGTTGTTCAGATGCTTAGATCCTTTTTCTTCCTTGAGAGTGCTACTCTGCTGAAGGAAAAAAGACATTTAAATGCCAGAGCAATTTAAGAGAAAATCCACAAAAGCTTGCACTACATGGCAAATTTAAATCTATATATTTATACTACCACATATAACTGAATGCACGAGCACTGAATGTGCTTGGGTGCTTGTACCTGTGCACGAAAGATCACATGCTCACGAGTGTTTAAGCAGCTGCCCTTGCTTCCAGAAAACTTGCCTGTGAATGTGCAAATACTTGCACTTGCAAATTCAACTTTACAACAGAATTCTGATGGGAAACTTGTGAAGTGTTTCATTTTTAGAATTGCTAGCTGGAATGCCTTCCTGGTATTGTCATCCAATATCAAAGGACTATGAAAAGGGATGATGGTTAATTTATCAATATTTCTATGTTACTTTTTTATTGTTAGTTTATCCAAGTAGTAATCATATGCTGGCATGGATGGGGAGGGAGAAGTGAAACTGGTAATCCAGGTAAAAAAGTGATATTACAGTGAAAGCCCTGTAATTCACGTCTTACTGACTAAATACTGATTGTCTTCTGCAATGGTCCCACAAAAAATGGTCTCTTTGAAGCACCTCTGAAGAGTTAAGTACATTATTATCAATAGAGCATCACGTATGAAGAAATATTTCATGCTTCTTATTCTCTATTGCTTTGTACCTTGTATTATCTCTGCCCCTTGCTAGTGTGGGGGAATACTGTGTTTTATCACTGAAGCACTGGTGCCTGTCCTGGGGCTCCTGCTCTTTCACTTTTCACACTAAATCTTCTCTTGGTTTTGCCTCTTGTGTCTGCACAGCCGCAGCTATGTGTTCTCATCGTTGGCCACCTCAGCTGTCTCCTTTGCCACAGGGGCACTTGGCATGTGGATCCCTCTTTACCTTCACAGAGCACAGGTTGTACAGAAGACAGCAGAGACCTGCAGCTCACCTCCCTGCAGCACCAAAGATAGGTGAGATCCATACTCTGCTGCTTTAAAGAGTGGGGAAAGGGAGTGGGGGCTTATTTACCAGAGGAAACAGGCAAGTCCCACGGAGTCAAGTTACTAGAATGTCTGCAATTTCCTCTAGGTCTTTGCAACAATGATAGGAAATGCTGGGATTGTAAACTACGTTTTATTTCTCCTCTTTTCTTCATCGCATGAAGTCAAACCAATGGAGAAGCAATGACCTCAGCTCTGTCTTAGTTCCCAGGCTGTAGTGCAGAAGTAGAAGAGAGACTGTTGTCTTTGCCTTAGAGGATGTTTAGAGAGCTGAGAATTTGGTTTCTGAAGACTCACATTTTTGTGTGATAGCAGCAGAATATTCTGGCAGGTTGGGTAGCCACGGTGGTGGCTATAATTCAGAGCTTGGACTGGTTCTTCTACAAGATGCAGGGATTGACCCTGAAGATTTTTGTTTCTGTATGAGAGAGGACTTAACTGTGTTTCATTGCTCTTTATACTACTGTGGATGCTGAGTTTTGCTGAAGAATGGTGCAGAAATGTGGAACACTTTGGTCTGGATTGCTTGATGTTACACAGTGGTTTGATTTTTCAGTCCCAGTTGTATAATATCACTTGCAGCACATAAGCTATGAAAAGTAATTCATTGTTTTGTGCTTTACCATGATGACACAAAACATAAAGTGCTAAAAAAGCATTTCTCCAGGTGAATAAAAGATAGGTAAAACTGCCTTTTGTCGGCTCTTTTGCTTTTTATCTTGTGAGAGAAAAATAACATTAGGAAAACCTTCTTGCTATAGCTGACACAATCCCATCTCAAGTAAACTACTTAGTGGTTTGGAGTACCATCAAGTAGAGCACCCAGCAGGCAGCCTCAGTCTATTCTGCAAAAATGCAGTGAGCAGAAAATACAGCTCCAGTCAGACTGCCCATCTGCTGTTTACAAAGAGAAGTTTTCCACTCCTTGATGACACCTGTATTTTGAGCTGCCCTGGAGCTACTGTAATGTAGTTGCCAAAGATTCTGTAATCCAAGTTGTGCACATATGATATGGAGAATCCCTGACAGCTCCTGGCTCTTTCAATTTAAATAAACATGTTTCAAAAGGGCAACATAACAGCAAAATAATCTAATCAGGCTTCTTTGAAGTGGTCTGAAAGGAGTTAGAAAGTCAAAGTATGTTGAAAGTCACTGGTATTTAGAGTCTTGTTAGATTTCCTTTCTCTTAAGCTTCCTAGTGCCTGCTCTGTCCATTGTTTCCCTTTACGTGATCAATGTGCAGGTTATTACTTAGTTTTGGGTGTAGGTAATTAGCTGTGCAGTGCACTTGATAGGAAGCTCATTTCTACACAAAGAAGCAGGATAAACTCTTTGCATCTCTTTGTGTGTTGATCAATGCCAGTGACAAGGCTGAATTTCATCTGCTGTGTTTTTCTTAATTTCAGGGGAAGAGTGCTAAAATCACAAGTACTCAGCAGGGAGCTCATTTATTTTATTTTCAACTTGCAAAACCAATGTGCAGATTTCCATTACTCAGTTTACTCTAATAATTTGTTCAAAGACTATGCCCATTTTTGTGAAAAACTCAAAAAACCACCCAACTGTATCCTTTTTTTTTTATTAATAGCTTGATCTTTGGAGCAATCACATGCTTCACTGGTTTCCTGGGTGTAATCACAGGGGCTGGAGCAACCAAATGGTGCCGGTTAAAAACCCAGCGAGCTGATCCTCTCGTCTGTGCTGTTGGCATGCTAGGATCAGCCATCTTCATCTGTCTGATCTTCGTTGCTGCCAAGAGCAGCATCGTAGGGGCCTATGTAAGTATAATCCTTTATCTATGCCAGTCTCACTCTCCCTAACAAACTCCTTAGAAGACTGTGTGCATTGTCCCCTGCAGGAAGCCTCAGATATTGGTCTTGCTTTTCCCCTTCTGAATGTCCTTCCTTTTGCCCCTTGGCGTTTTGACACTATCTAGATGTGCCTGGAGGGAAAATGATGTCTCAGCTACTTATCCTCTCACTAGCTGTCATCAGAGTTTAGAGCTGGCTATCTAGTGCGTGCATGGAAACCCACAGTTCCCTGCCTTTAGGCTGTTGTATCTATACCTCTATCCATACCTCTATTGCTCTTGCCTAATGTTTTGGTACCAGAAAATTGGCCACTTCCCTTACAATAAGGTTATTGTAACTGCAGTGGTACTAAATTATAATTACAGTATAATTTGTCTGTGGGCATACTTTTGGCTATCTGTAAGTACCATTATTATCTATAAGTACCATTAATTTCCATAACTAGGTAGCTTGCTGCAGACCAATAGTAATTACCATGTAATTCCAATTTGTTGTTATCTCTATTACCATAGCACCTGAAAGTCCTAGTCATAGCCCAGGAACCCACCATACTTAATGCTGCACAAATGCAGATTAAAACATGGCCCCTCCCAGAGGGTTTGTAATCAAAGTCTATAAAAAGACATCAGATAGATCCAGACCAATAGACTGAAGGGAGAAGGAAAATCTCAAGTGTAATAATCCAGCCTCAGGCTAGGATCTTGCTTTCAGTAGAGAGCAGAAATCCAGTACACTGAACAGGTCCCAGGTTCCCTTTCAGTGTGATAGAGAGAAGCCTGGGACTTGGGAGAAGTTTTTGGAAGCATGAGGTGGTTAGGGTAGTGGGATAATTTCTGAAAGCCCACCCTTAGCTTCCACATTCAGTGCACACTCCACCTGGAGAGGAGAATTCATTTACAATTAATGAACCAAGAAATCTACTGCGGTTTCTTGTTTCTCTATGTTTCTAGCACTAGCTCTAGCCATGGTTATTTTCCGAGTATTTCAATAGCTGCCATCGTTATGGGGAAACACAAGAAAGAGTGAAAGTTTAAAGACATGAAGACAGAACCAAGAATGCCTACTCTGGCTATTTAGAAAGTGTCAGAAGGAGATTAGGTCCTTGGTTTTGTGGCATGGTCTAGAACTAACCTTTGATTCAGTGATCAGCAGAGAAATGATCACCTCAGACAACCGGTAAGAGGGTGTTACTGGTTGGCCAAGCATTAACCCACCTTTCATCATCAGCTGGCTCAGAGTGAGGGGATCTGTCACTTCCCTCCACCTGTCCCTCCCCTCCACCTCTTTGTGCAGCCAACCCTGTGATTTTCTCCTTTCTCAGGCCTGATGACAGACATGTTCATTTGTGGTGTGTAGTCTCTTTATGCAGAAAATCCTCCCTTTCTAAGCTGGAAATACTGTTTTCAAAAATTTTGCAACAAAAGGTGATTATTGGTCCAATTTTCAACTTTTTTTCTTTTTTTCTTTTTTTAAGTAGCCATGTGACTATTCTGCATTGTGTAAATATATCAATATAGATGGTATTATTTAACCAGTCTTAGAAATAATTTATTTTATTATGCATGAGCAGGACATCTCATAAAGAGTCAATGATTTGTAAAGGAAGTTATATCTGCATATGGAGGGGGTATGAGGAATTTGAGCCTATTTGCTGATGCTGTTAGGCTGATGAATACATTTGTTGTAGGTGACACTGCCTCTCCATAGCCCTAAATATGCTCTTTGTGCTGCTGGAAACCTGATGCATAGAAAGCAGCTAAGAGTCTACTTATTGTGCTGACTGGGGAGTAGGAGATCTGAATTCTATCGATTCTATCTATTCAAGTTAAATAACTTGACAGTGGGAAAGTTAATTAACTTTGGTTTGCCTCTGCAAAAACAAGGATTCTGAACTTACAAAGGGTCGAGGTAGCTTGGATCATGAATGTTTGTAAATCACCTGGAGTTAGATCATCTATGGCCAAGCTATCCACTATAAATTAATATAAATAGAATACAATGACACAACACCTCTTGCTGTCGGTTTAGTGTTACAGGGTCTAACCCCACTGAGAGAATAGGTCTATGTTGGAGCTACCTACCAATGTCTCAGAACACAAGGTGTATTATCATGGTGGTCCTATGTATTGGTTGAATTGACTTTTCAAGGCAAGTTTCAAATATGAGCCCTTGTTTTTCCATGCCATCCAATGCTATTGCAGTCTTACGGACTTCCAGAGTGTTTAATTCCCTTGTATTTACCTAGGAGACCTGTCTTGTAAGGTTGCATGGTGTAGCACTTTCTCATTACTGTCTCTCTGGTCCAAAATCAAGGAGAGACTGTTCTCTTACTCTGGAGTTGCACCACCTAGATATGGTGGACAGCATGATGGACTAGGTTAACTTCCTTTTCTGAAAATCCATGATAATAGCTTGTTCTGGAAAGAAAACAGTCAAATCTATGGGTGAATTTTCTTATCTCTGATAGCTTCCTTGACAGCTGTGTCCTGGCTCTCATCCTGAAACGGCATCCTTGAGTTCTGTATGACTCTGAAAGGCAAGAGCAATGTTCCGGTCTGTTCCCCAACATGCTATTCCCAGACCTCCTGTACTGTGACTGACCTTAGACTTCTGTCATTGGTCACACTGTGCTAATATTGAAGGGTTACTGGTTTTGGACCCCTTATTGGCTCAGAGCATCACTTCCAAGCATTTAGGTGGGTTCCCATGAGCTGGTGTTCTCTCACACTGCACCATCTCCCTCCCTCTTCTAGTGAACAGTTGAGTTAACTGGCATCAGCATAAAGGAAATGTTCAGCACTCCACCAAGAATCAGGAGAGCCCTTGCTTTTTAATTTCTTGGCTTTTGGGGATTTGTTTTGGTTTGTTTTTTTTTAAAAAAAGACCTGCATATCCATTACCATGATCACCTTGTCCCTTACAGGCTGTTGACTGTCTGCTCTCTTCCTCCCCTGAACACACATACTTTTCCCCCCTGCTCAGTCCTGTCTTGCAGGTGGTTTTGGTCCCTGAGGGCAGCTGCTGTTCCAGTTCTGTAGCAGCCACTCCTACCTGGAGCAGGTAGACTTCTTTTTTCCATCCAATGTTTTCAGACCAATCCAGTAAACTATTGGCAGTGTTAGAAGTGGTTGGAAAGGTGGAATAAAGCAGCATTCTATATCACTTCACTGCCCAGACACTTGTATTTCGGTCTTTTACTGCCTCGCTCAGCTGTATAGTCCAATCAGTTCTTATTCTGTGTTCCTTGCAGCGTGTAGATTTATGTGTTGTAGTCAGGCTCCTTAAAACAGCAATTTGCATATCTTTAGGTCCCACTCTTCCTGAAATATGTACTCTTTGAAATGCTGGTTTTCAAACCTGTCTCTTGAAACCCATTAGCTGTGTGGCATCATTGTATCGCACTACTCAGACATTGCAACAGCAGATTTTAAACTAGTTTAAATTTCCAAATGACT